AAATGCTCTTTTAAGATCAATAAACACTGCCACTACATTAAGGTGTCGGATTATCTTAGCGATAATCTCCGATATATATGTAAATGAGAAGCACACATATTTATTGAGAGAGAATAACAGCTTCAGACTCCAGAAGTATAGAACAGAAGTGGACAAAAAAAATATTTTCTATAAAGGCTTAAAGTGCTTCAATGAATTACCAGAGGCTATAAAAAATTGTGATACTATCACTCTTTTCAAGCGGCTGCTATTTGACTATTGTAGAACGCAGCCTACAAGATAGTGATGTATCAACAATAGCGTGGATTGTAAACTAGGCCTTTCCAACCACCAAGATATCGAGACTAGGCGGATCGGAAACTCGGCCTTTCCGACTATCTAGACCCTTAGATAAAAAACAATAAACGAGCGGATTGGAAACTAGGCCTTTCCAACCGTCACGAAAGAGCGACTGGGTGGATCGGAAACTCGGCCTTTTCGACCACCCAGGAGATATCAATAAATGGAGTAACCCAAAAAGAATAGCGCGGAATGGAAACTCAGCCTTTCCAACCGTCTACATAACTTCCAGAAAATTGCATGCGTTTATATTGACATAAAATAATTGCAGTGATAAAGAAATAATGTTATTTAAAAATTTCCGTAGAGCATTTTGTATTTTGTATTTAATATTTAACATTTTAAATCTAAATCTAATTGTTAAATCTTTGTTGCAATATAAGTCTAACAGACTGTAAAAAATAAATAAATAAATAAATAAATTCTCCCGGTGAATGGTTAGACATTGCAAACAAATTTGAAGAGAGATGGAACTTCCCAAATTGCTGCGGTGCACTAGACGGGAAACATATTATGATTCAAGACCTCCTAATAGCGGCTCCGAATACTTTAATTATAAAAGCCACAACAGTATTGTCTTAATGGCAATGGTAGACGCCGATTATAGATTTTTGTTTGTTGAAGTTGGAGCGTACGGTCGTGAGTCAGACGGAGGAGTTTTTGCAAGGTGAGATACCCGCAACGTACAAATTTTATAAAAGTGGTACCCATAAATATACTTTTTGAAGTGAAACTTGTTGTTGTTGTTGTAGCAGCATACAAATTCCCCAAAGACTTTTTTTTTTTTGCTGGAGTGACAGTCCTTGGCCAGATATAAATCTGGGTCGTTCCGGTTACGTAGACCCGACTGTCGTGGGAACGAAGTGGAACTTCTTTGGGTTCGGTTGGGGCTAAATGTAAACATCGATGTAACGAAAAAGCGAGCTCTAATTCCAAACGAAAAAACGGCAGCTTTCAGCTCCGGTTTGTAGTAACCGAACATTGAACAAATGGCCCTAAGATAAAAGTTGTTGTTAAGGTTAAAGTTAAGGTTAACTAAGATTTAGGTTGAGGTTGAGATTAAGACAAATTTTTCTTATTACGCAGAAAATACTCAATATGACGTGGTAATAAGAAGTTTCATTTCAATCGCGCGTGGGATCCACACAACTATTTTTATACCTTTCATGAGCATGAAATGGTATTATAACTTTGGTCCGATGTTTGTAAGCACCAGAACAAAGAGATAGACCCATTAAAATGTATACTTATATGATCAGAACGTCGAGCTGAGTTGATTTAGCCATGTCCGTCTGTCCGTCTGTCTGTCTGACCGTCTGTTTGTATGCAATCTAGTCTCTCAGTTTTCGAGATATCCGGATCAAATTTGGTAGGTGGGTGTATTTTTATAATGTATTAATCATTTGTCGGAACCGGAAGAATCGGACCACTATAACATATAGCTCCCATACAACTGATTGTTCAGATATGAGATTTTTCGTTATAACTTCTCCATTTATGCAGCTACGAACATAAAATTTTGCAGTACTTGCACCCATTATCAACAGAATACTTACAGTGAAAATTGCAAAGATCGGGCCACTATAACCTATAGCTCCCATACAACTGATTGTTCAGATATAAAATTTTTCTTTATAAATCCTCCATTTATATAGCTAGGAACATGAAATTCCGCACTGTTTTCAATAATTATTAACAGAAAAGGATCGGGTAACTATAACCTATAGCTCCCATACAACTGATTGTTCAGATATGAGATTTTTCGTTATAATTCATCCATTTATGTAGCTACGACCATGAAATTACGCGCTGATTTCATTCATTATCAACAGAAGACTTACAGTGAAAATAACAAAGATCCGGTCACTATAACCTGCAGCCCCCATACAACTGATTGTTCAGATATGATGTCTTTTATCATAACTCCTCCATTTATGCAGCTAGGAACATGAAATTTCGCACCATTTTCACTCATTATTAACAGAATACCTACAGTGAAAATAACAAGGATCGGATGACTACAACATATATCTTCCATACATCTGGTTGTTCAGATATGGGATTTTACTCTAAAACTTCTTTATTTGAACAGCTAAAACCGATAAATTTCGTAAGATATTTTATAAATAATAAAACAAAGTCTACTGAGAAAATCGTCAAAATCTATGCTGTATAAGCTTTATCTCCTATAGCACTGATTGTTCAGATACCAGTTTTTGCCATATATCTCCTTTATGTAGGAAACTAAACCCAATAAATTGTGTTACCGGTTTACATACCGATCACATAGCAGTGAAAATCACTTGGATTGGTGCCATATAAAGTATATCTTCCATACCTCTGATTGTTTAAATGCGATTTTTTATATAAGTATGTAACTCCTCTATCGATGTATGCAGATGTATTCAAAAGCAGTAATCTGTCAAAGTAAAATTTGCAGATGTTCATGAAAGGTATGAAGCCTTCGGCATAGCCGAAGACAGCGCTGCTCTTACTTGTTTTTTTAACATATATATATTTGTAGCTGCCCACTTTCAAATGCTCTAGCTGAAAATACAATTAACTTTCCACCTCCAAGATCGTTGCCACATGAATGAGATCTGATGCCGTTTGTGATTGTTGCTGATGGCGCCTTTCCACTTAAACCATATCTCTTAAAGCCATTTTCTTATCGCGAACAAGTCATGTCACACAAAATCTTTAATTATAGACTTTCTCGAGCCAGAAATGTGGTGGAAAATGTATTTGGCATTTGCGCGTCGCGGTTTAGAATCCTTAGACGACCAATAGATGTTAAGACTGAGACTTCTAAATTCATAGTTCTTGCAATATGTGTACTGCATAATTTTCTAATATGAAGAAATTCAGTATATTTTAAACGAAGGGATGTTGACAGTGACATAAACGGCGAAGCATTGCTCGGTAATTGGCGAATGGAGCTCGGTCAAAGCGGAACTTTAAATTCTATTCGAACAAGCAGTTCTTTAGGTCGCCCGGCAGATGATGCATTGCAAGTACGACAATTATTTATGGAGTACTTCATGACACCCCACGGAGAGGTACCCTGGCAATACAGCAGGGCAATTCTGCATAATTCATTCATTCATTTATAATTCATTTTAAACATACACTTGTGATCAGCTAATTAATTATATAACAAACACCATATAAATCCAGATTTCAAACTTTGTGCAAAAATTATGAAAAATCTGCAAAGTTTCGGCTAAATTTTCAACATTTTATGCAGAATAGGGAGTAAGGGAGTAGTTTGGGACCAGTTGGGGCTTGGTTTGGGACCCTTTCGGGACTATATACAAAATTTTTTCGCACTCACTTAAAATTGAATGGGCTATAAAACTGCATTCCTAGAATTTTTCTAAAAAATCTTAATAAAAAGTTGCAAATTTATTGAATTTTTCTGAGTTTTGCACAAAGTTTGGAGATTTGATCTTTATGTTTTTTTGGTGGAGTATGTGCCATATTTTTATAAAAAATTATCGCAAATAAATAAGATAAAAAACTTTGCATACATCGCTTAAAATTCACTGTGCCAGTACTTTTGTTCATCACTGTTTATATACTGGTGGCCCGATAATTAGAAACGATTTGTTTTTAAAAGTTTTGATCATTTGTTTTTATTTATTACTTTTAATTTATTTTTTAAGAAAATTTATCTCATGTTACAACGAAAATTGTGTAACTCAAAGTTTTAAACTTTGTACAAGAGTGATAACAATTCGACACAGTTCAAAAAATTTTCATCAAACTGCATACTTGAGTTCTAGAGATTCTTATTAAAGAGTTTGAAATTTTGATGATAATTTTTTTGAACTGTGTCGAATCATTATCACTCTTGTACAAAGTTTAAAACTTTGAGTTACATAATTTTCGGTGTAACATGAAATATATTTTCTTAAAAAAAATTAAAAGTAATAAATAAAAATAAATGGTCAAAACTTTTAAAAACAAATCGTTTCTAATTATCGAGCCAGCCGTGTACATATATTTATGTACATATATACATTTAAGTACACTGGCTAATTCTAGAGCTACTTAAATCTAAATTGTACATTTTATTTGCAAATAATTAATTGTTAAAAAACTAATATCGCATTTGTGTGAGGCCACCTTAACAAAACAAAAAAATAAGCATTCAATTGCAAAATAAATATTTCAAAATAAATATATCCTGATAAGCAAGTATTAGGTTAAATCTCCTGAGAAGACACCTGTGTTGCTTACAGCTATCTTTTGAAAGTTTTGAAAGTGGATTTTCGATATTCAGCTCCCGTCCACTTGACGAAACAAATCCCCTCAAATCATCCCATTTGTCTGTTTTCGATGCCGAAGTTATTGTTTGCAAAGCACTTTCGACAGTCTTAGCAAAATCGGCGTCTTCTTTTTCCATGCGCCGCCGCTTTGCCGAAGGAGTTGGTGTTGTTTTGGATGTTGACGGCGTCGATTCCAAATCATCCGTTTCCAAAAACTCGACTTCATACATGATATCCGTTGGCTGTAAAGATAAAAAACAATACTTATATACATATATGAAAGTCGATTAATTATATGCGATTTAGCCCTAAAAGCATTGATGAAAAGTCGTGCCGGTGCTATTGGTATTTTGGATTAATTGTTATAATATTTATGTAATTATATCGATATTACTCGGCAATAACGGCACAACTCAAAACTGAAAAAATAAGTCCTCACTGCTTTTAAGTGGCTAATGTCTCTAATCCTTGTATAATTGATGTCTAAGTAAGTTAATACATTAGTAAGGATTACTACAGTATGCAGTAAGGACTAGACATGGATAATACAAGGATTAGATACATCAGCCACTTAAAAGCAGTAAGGGCTTTTATTTTTTCAGTTTTGAGTTGTGCCGTTATTGCAGAGCAATATCGATATGTACACACGTACCGAGGTTGGCGAGTTATTTGCCACATCCATCAAATTTGAAGTTGTAGAAGCCGCAGAGTTTAACGTGGGCTCCAAAAATATCAGAGAGTTGTCCAGCTGGCTCGGTTCACTCAGTCTTTTGGCGCTTTGACCACTTTTTGTTGTTGCCATTCTATTAAACGCCGCCTAAATATTGATAATCGTATTACATATTCGGATTACAAATACTCAATTTTATTTTGTACTTCATTAAAAACTTACGCGGAAGGAACACCGAAGGCTATTCCATTTTGTAGTCACTTCTAATCGTGGCAATTCTATTTCCTTTGCTACATCATCCCAAAGAGCCTCCCTTAAGTTTCTGTCCCTGTATTCTCTGGACAAGTAGTTCCAAAGGCCCTCCCGTATCTGGACAGCTTCTATAAGCTGTTCAGTTTGCTGGTTCGTCCAATTGTGTTGAAGCTTCCGCACCCGCTTCTTGGTGTTGGCAATTGTTGCGCTTGAATTATGAATTTTGCTAAAATTGTAAGTCATTAATTAAGTGGTTACTCAATTTTCATCCAAAAATTACCTTTTAATGATTTGAAAGTCACTTATTTTCCATAAAAATGATTAAAATTTTTTTTTTTTGGGCTCTGAAATCTATGACTGAAAGGACGACAGTCCCTATAGTCAGGTTGTTCCTCCAGGTATGGTATGCTCAACCAGGTGTGTAACTGCTAATGTGTCTGTAGTATTTCCACTGCTACACAGAGTAGTACCGCTGGCCAAAACCCGTGTAGTAGCTTCTGCTTGTGTTGTTTAGTGCGATTGATTCTCCAAGTGCAATTGTTAACGCATGTGTGTAACAGAAGGCAGTTGTGATTGCCATGTATTTTCAGTAGTGTTCGCGATAACGGACTATAAAGGCTTGGGCTAGGTGGAACGATTAAATATTATACATGATATGTGACGAATAGCAAAATTAAAAAGGCGTAAAATGTAACAAACTGGTTAGGAAAGTTAACGACAAGTTTTTACATCAAAAAGATATTTTGGCCTTTTGAAAAAATTTGGCGAGCTGAGTTATCTTGGCTAGATAATTGTTTTGAAAAATTGAATGAAAATCGGTAGCATTGCTGAAAATATCGAATTCAGCTCTAATATTATCGAGTCTTCTGCAGTGGAAGGTTTGGTGAATGTAATCGTCAAGTTGTCCACAGTAACAACGTGGCGAATTCAAAGCATTGATTTTAAACAAATATGCCTTATCATACGTGTGCCCTGATAGGACTCTGTTAAGCGTTTTAATGTCAGTTGGTGATAATGTTAGTTTTTTAAACCAGGCGGAATTTTTCCTGCATGGAAAAACAGATGCAAAAAGGTTGGATTTTAATGAGGAGTAGTTTAAGAATTCATTGTACCATTCATCAAATATGGTATTTTTAATCTGCCTAATAGCTTCGTCAACTGTGTATTTGGCCCTTATAGAGGTACCTTCACTGGTGGCTTTTTTGGCTAGTTCATCTGCCCTTTCATTCCCCAAAATGCCAACGTGGCTTGGGGTCCATACCAGATCTATCAGTATACTATCCGCGTCAAGTATTTTTTTATGTATTTGTTGAGCAATGGAATTTTTTGTTTGAGAGTTTTTTAATATATGGCAAGAGGTGAGGCTGTCGGTGAATATAACAACCTTGTCCTGTTTGTTCATGATAGCAATGCTAATTGCTTCATTGATGGCATGAAGTTCTCCAAAAGTGGAGGAAGACTTAAAATCAATACAAAAAAGGTGATCAGAGTTCTGGGAGTAGTTAAAAATTCCACAGCCCGTGCTATTTTCAGCCAGGGAGGCGTCACTATACAGAATATAAAAACCTCTGTTTTTATAGCTGTTTAAAATCATAGAGTGATGAGTCTTAATGCTCTCAATTGTCAGATTAGATTTTTTGTCAGGTAACATATTATCACAGATATGAAGATTGGAGATATGGAAATTGTGGTGAACCACATCAAGACGGCCAAGGATGTCAGAGAACTTTCCATATACAGAGGAGTAGCTAGAGTTTAAAAGAGGATTGTTTCTTATTGAAGTAGAAATATTATCATTGTATGCAAAGATTTTGACCAATTCTTTGGCGGTGAGCCATATGGACCTTTCTTTTGGAGGCAGTTCATTAGCAATAGCATATAGGATGGGTATGGGGGTGGATGGGGTTAAACCTAGGCATCTCCGTAGAAATTTGTTTTGAAGCGTACATATTTTCTTAACAGCAGACTTAGAACAGTTGGCTGTAGTGGTACTACAATACTCAATTTTCGATCTAACCAGAGCTTTGTACAAATTTAGAGCTTTTTGCGGATGAAGGCCTGATTTAATATTTGTAAGATATTTAAAAAGTTTTATGTTATTTGCTGATGCCTCACAAATTTTTGAGTAATGATTTTTGATAGTCAGCGAACTGTTTATGGTTCTTCCGAGTACCTTAAGTTCATTAACTTGCGTCAGCCTTGTGCCATTCATATTAATAACAATGTCTTTTTTTGGTCCTTTAGATATGTGCATCAGCTTCGTTTTATCCGGATTTACAGAAAAATTGAGAGAATTGCATCTGTCAGCAAAGGAGTTGAGTGTAGTTTGTAGGTTTTGCTGTGCTTCCAACAGGTCAGCACCAGAAGATATGAAACAGAAATCATCAGCAAATTGCAAAAGTTGGAGGTTATCCTCTGTAAGATCATGAAAGCTCGAGGTATATACATTGAAGAGTAGTGGAGATAGGCAACTGCCCTGTGGTATACCATTGTAGATCTCTGTACTATTGTTTCCTACCTTAAGTACTCTAAAGGCCAGGAAATTTATTATCCACTCAGTATAAAGACTTTCAACATTTAGTTCAAGGAGCTGTTTTTTTAAGATTTTAATATCTACGCAATTATAGGCATTGGCAATATCAGTAGTGCAGAAAATTACCTGCTTCTTCATGGATTTAAGGAGGCTTATTTTGTGCAGAATGTGATTGATACATACAGCGGATGATTTATTTTTCCTGTACGCAAATGTATTTTCAGGAAGGCTATTGTTGTTCTCCAAGAAGCGGTATAGTCTATCCTTGATACATGAGTTAATTAGTTTGAGTAAGACAGATATTAATGCAATTGGTCGGTAGTTATTGAAGTCATTTAGATCCTTTTCTTTTTTGGGGATAGGAACAATTTTTATGATACGCCAGTGATCAGGAATTTGATTGGACAGAAATAGATCGTTTAGAGATGTTCTTAGAGCACTTAAGGTGATATCAGGTAGAGCTTTTAACATTTGATATGTTATTTTGTCTACACCCGCTGCTGATCCTTTTTTCTTCCTATCTAAGCTGCTCAATAATTCATCAAATGTGATTGCCAAGCTATGATCATAAACTAATTCTTTATTTATTGCTAGTCTAGTGGTTTGGTTGGGTACCTGCCTATTTAGCATTGCTAGAAAGCTAATGTCGTTTTCATGGTTCCAAGAGGAGTTGCCTTGGTTGTAATCGCCTCTTAGGGCTTTAACAAACCGCCATACACTTCTTCCACTGCCAGTATTGATTTCTTCAATTTTATTGTTGAAGTTTGCCTTTTTGGCTTTCTTCACTTCTCTTCTCCACTCTTTTTGTTGAATCATAAGATTTTCAAAATTAGCAGGACTGGGAAAATTTTTTGCTTTCTTAGAAGCTGCAGTCAGAAGTCTGTACATTTTGTTAAGATAGTCATTCCACCAGGCCTTGGGCTTCATGTTATTTTT